ATAAAGGATGATGAAAAAGTCCCTATTGTCATTGTGGGCAATAAATCCGATCTGGAGGAAGACCGCGCTGTTCCGCGAGCGCGAGCATTCGCACTTTCCCAGAGCTGGGGTAATGCTCCCTACTATGAAACTTCAGCGCGTAGGAGAGCGAACGTCAACGAGGTTTTTATTGATCTCTGCCGGCAAATAATCAGAAAAGACATGCAGGGAAACTCGTCCAGTGGCTCCGACAATTCAGCGAGAAAGCGAGACGGCGCCGGTCGTTACGATAAGAAGAAAGAAAAGAAACGACGAAAGGGCCCCTGCGTTATCTTATAAATCCCAAATCGACAACAGCGCCAACGCTACGATTGCAGCAAGAAACTCCCCAAACGTCTGCTTTGCTGTTCATTCCTGTCCACCGGTTCAGTGTATCACTGCTCGTACATCTTGAGCTTCGACAGACATCCTTCACACTAAAACATACCCCATCAATTGTTTACAATATCCTCCCGAGGTGCCCCATATCATGCTACACTATACGCCATTTACGTGCTCTTCCCAACGGTAGAACGATGCTCAATTATAACGCGTTATTTCCATTATTACAAGTTGCCACCTGACTTTTAAAGGCTGGAAAAGTTGTCGAGTGATCTCCTGATGATTTTCTTTTATCCCTTCTTCGATTTCCCCCCCGTGTTGTCGTTGCAATTGGTATCAACGTTCCTCATGTTCTTGTCTACCCTGGTCTCCTGAGAGGCTCAGTCTGAACCGATTCCAGGAGAATCGGGCTGACTTCATTGCATCAGCTTGGTATCACATTCCTATTATTCTTGTATACCACATATTTTCTAGAAGAATCGAGGAATTTGCCGTCTTGACCCCTCCGTCACAGTTCGCTTCCTGCTCGTTACTGACTGGAATACGGTTCCAAGCTGTTGTCATGCTAGTTCATGGAAAGCCGGCAGCCGGTGTGTCTACGGGTCTCATACGAGTCCAATCTATATGAAATGTATACAAAGCGAATTTCATGAGTAATGACCGCTGAATTACGCTATAGGTTTACATTCTGAAAACACCAAAACGAGTCTGCACATCCTTGTCTACTCTGCCACCAATAGCAGCCGCAAGGCTCAGGCCCAAAACATGTCTCGTCTGTGCTGGCGGAATGACACCATCGTCCCAGAGACGAGCGGAAGAAAAGATCGCTTCCGACTCACGGTCGATCCGTGCTTTCAGTTCCGGATCGGCGGTTCTACCGACTGCCTCCATGACAGCAGATAATTGTTCGGACCCCATGACACCTATCTTCGCGTTGGGCCACATGAACATCAGTCGCGGAGAGTATGCGCGGCCGCTATAGAGACGGAGCAAGGGTTAGCATAATGCACTGCGTCTTTCGAGGTAAATACAGCATAATGAGGGCGCTTACCACATCCCGTAATTTCCTGCTCCGGCGCTGGAGCCGAACACAACCGTAAATTTGGGAACGTCCGCGCAAGCCACTGCAGTCACCAGTTTGGCGCCGTTCTTAGCGATCCCGCCCTTCTCTGCATCTGCTCCGACCATGAAGCCGGAGATGTTCTGAAGGAACAGCAAGGGGATCTTGCGCTGAGCGCACAGTTCAATGAAGTGCGCTCCTTTCAGGGAAGACTCGGAAAATAGAATGCCGTTGTTCGCGACGATACCAACTTGGTGGCCGTAGATACGAGCAAATCCAGTCACAAGGGTGGTTCCGTAGTCACGTTTGAACTCTGCAAACTCGCTGCCATCGACAATACGCGCAATGACTTCGTGGGCTGGTATCTGCCGGCGGAGGTTGGTTCCGACGATGCCGTCGAGCTCGGCCGGGTCATAGAGCGGCTCCTTGATGGTATCTGCGGCGACCTGAGGTACGCTTGTTTTAGGGTAGTTGAGATTGGCGACAGATCTCCGGGCGAGGACAATGGCATGGGCATCGTCCACGGCCAAGTAATCCGTGACACCAGAGATGGTGCTATGTAGCTGGCCACCACCCAGATCTTCCGCGGAGACGACTTCACCCGTCGCTGCCTTGACCAGAGGAGGACCAGCCAGGAAGATAGTTCCCTGGTTCTCGACTATGATAGTCTCATCGCTCATGGCTGGGACATAGGCGCCTCCAGCCGTGCAGGGTCCCATAACCACAGAAATCTGAGGGATCCCGAGAGAACTCATTCTGGCCTGGTTGAAGAAGATCCGTCCGAAATGCTCCTTGTCGGGGAAGACGTCTGCCTGGTGGGGAAGATTGGCACCGCCGGAATCGACAAGGTAGAGGCATGGAAGCTTGTTCTCCTGGGCAATTGCTTGCGCGCGGAGGTGCTTCTTCACGGTAATGGGGTAATATGTTCCTCCCTTGACAGTGCTGTCATTAGCCACGATCATACAGGTAACGCCCTCCACTTGGCCAATGCCTGTAATAATGCCTCCAGCGGGAACGTCTTCCCCGGGATAGACGCCATGGCCGGCTAGGGGTGAAAGCTCTAGGAAGGAGGTCCCTGGATCAATGAGCGCGGTGACACGATCGCGAGGAAGCATCTTTCCTCGAGCGACATGCTTCTCCTTAGCTTTTTGCGGCCCTCCCTGTGCAATGGTCTTGTGTAGACTGGCCATTCGGTCCACCAACTCTCTCATCTGTTGCGCGTTCTCCTGGAATTCCGTGGAGGTGGTGTCCACCGCAGTGGGGAGCACGGAAATGGCGCTGGCATGATGCGCATGTGTATAGCTGGCCACAGATCGTGACGAGATGCGAGAGTATGTTAAAACCAGGTTTCTTTGTGCCGCGAGTCGTCGAGGATACGGAAGGGTGGTTGGTCTGGAGCACAAGCCCCGGAGGAGCGGAGATGGGGCACGCATTGCGGGGATGAGTGTGGAGCAAAGGAAATGTTGATGTTCAGCAGGTGACCGGGGGTATTTATGGCATGGCCTTGACTGAAATTCCAAGAGTGGTCTCAGAAGACAGGACAGTGTCCTCAAGAAAGTGGAAAAAGACTTTGAGGGAGGAAAGGCTGCGGGTTGTTGATGGGGAAGAAAAAAGAAGGGCATGACGATGGAGTCCCCAGACTCCAGCTTAACGGCTGCGGAGAAAAAGCAGCGACGATTGCCGCGTTTACCCGCCGCTGCCCTCAGGCCCGCTCTTCTCTCCGCCTCGCATCGCTATGTAAATGCAACCATCCTCGGCTTTCATTCTTTTGCTGATATTCATCATTCTTTTTCGTTACCTGAGAATTCTCAAATCTCCATTGGAAGAGTGTTTATTCTCACCCACCATGGCTTCCGTAGCGTCCCTATTTCGGACCTCGTCCAGGACCCTTTGCAGGATGAGGACGCCGCTCATCTACACCCCCGCATCAAGGTCGTTGGCAACCAAACATCCCAAGGGATTCGTACCGCCCACAGAGGACGAACTGCTGGAGCTGAGAGAGCGAGTACAGGAGTTCACACGTATGTGATAAGCCTTTCATCACCCAATTCATCACGTCGCATCTGCCCTTCTCCGATACTGATACGTATTCAAGGGCGCGAAATACCCGAGGAGGTCGCCGCTCGGACAGATTCACAGAATGAGTTCCCGGCAGAGATGTGGAAGAAGCTTGGAGACGCCGGGTTAGTGCTTTCAAGACATCTTCGTACGATACAAGAACTAAATGTGTTTCACTAGGTTTCTTGGTGTCACTGCCAACGAGGACTATGGTGGACTTGGAATGGGCTATCAAGCGCATTGTGTGGTGATGGAAGAACTCAGCAGAGCTTCAGGTATTTGGCCCTGTTTGCGGCTTTTCAAGGCTTGCTTTCGAACTCGAGGTTGACTTGTTTGACCTGCAGGGAGTATCGCTTTGTCCTACGCAGCACATTCGCAGCTTTGCGTAAACCAACTGTCCTTGAACGGTACTGAAGACCAGAAGGCCCGGTTCCTCCCTGGGCTCCTGTCCGGTGAGAAGATCGGAGCATTGGCCATGTCAGAGCACTCCGCAGGCTCTGATGTTGTCAGTATGAAGACGACCGCTAAAGCAGTCGACGGTGGTTGGGTGCTGAATGGCACCAAGATGTGGATTACGAACGTGAGTTATAATCAATCCTACAGCAGCTCTTGTGAGTACCGACACTGACTCTGATTACGACTTAGGGTCCCGACGCAGACTACATTGTCGTCTATGCCAAGACAGAGCCGGAAAAGGGCTCCAAGGGCATCTCCGCATTCGTCGTAGAAAAGACATTCAAGGGCTTTTCCTGCGCACGCAAGCTTGACAAGCTCGGTATGCGTGGGTCAAATACCGGAGAACTTGTTTTCGAAGATGTCTTCGTCCCCAAGGAGAACCTCCTGGGGGAGTTGAACAAAGGCGTTCGAGTTCTGATGGAAGGTCTTGATCTCGAACGGCTTGTGCTGAGCGCTGGTCCACTTGGGTAGGCTTCCCTCGTAGTGAAACATTCCATTTTCTGAAGAAGATGACGCTAATTGGGATCCAATAGAATTATGCAAGCAGCCCTCGACCTCGTGCTCCCATATACCCATACTCGCAAACAATTCGGAACCCCCATTGCGCACAACCAGCTTATTCAAGGAAAGCTGGCAGATATGTATACCAAGCTCGCGGCATCGCGCTCTTATACCTATGCTACGGCACGACATATCGATAACTCCGCAGCTACCGGCGAGGTTTCAATCCGCACGCAGGACTGCGCGGGCGCCATCTTGTACGCCGCTGAGAGGGCCACCGAGTGTGCCTTGGATGCTATCCAACTTATGGGTGGCAATGGGTACATCAATGAGATCCCTGCTGGGCGGCTGCTCCGGGATGCGAAGCTCTATGAAATAGGCGCTGGTACTAGTGAGATCAGACGGATGGTGATTGGGCGCGCTTTTAACAAGGAATATGCATAGAGAAAGGACTGTATGAAAGATGAGTGTATAGAAGAGTTCCGATATCATTTGGCATCTAATTCTTGCATTATCTAAATATACTGTATAGGCCAAGTTGGGCCATGTCGGTTCATGTACCGGTTTATTTCTGATTCGTCTTCTGCCTGGTTGACCTTCTGACCGGGCCCGACGATGCAGTCGCGGCGATTCCTTTTTTGTCAGCTGTATTCAATACATTTCTTTCTGACCTTAACCTCTTGGGAGCATCGATGCTGGTATCCTGATGCTCCTCGGCAAGGTCTGACGCCTTCCGTTTTCGATGCTCCCCGGAGGAGAGCGATGAGCCGTTGCCCTCAACATTGGTCGGTTCGGCTTCACCTCGTTTCGTGGTTATATCGTCCATTTCCGAGTCTTCAAGAGAGCGCGCAAAGTCGTTCAACTCGGGAACGACGGGCACACTGGTGATTGATTCCATCTCTCTGATCCTGTGTATGGGAATGGATGACCCAGACTCCGGAGGAGTGGATGCCAGGCTATTGTCGGAGGCAGCATCAGTTTCGCGAAGATTATCCAGCGAGGCGCCAGAGGTGCAGTCGGAACTGTCTTCCTTTTGACTTTCTTTTTGCAATATGGTGCCGATTAATCGTGAGCGGTTATGTTCCTTGTCCACCTTGAGATGACCCAGTTTGCGCAGACGTAGTCGATCGTTGGCAGGATGAGAATTTCGAAACACCTCCCGCCAGTTCTTCAGCAGTGCAACCTTTTCCCCATCACCCGGCTCATACAAGGTGACCCTGTTTTTCTCGTCATCGGAGCTCTTCCACACCACCGCTTGAAAAGACGCCTTGTCCGTCTTGAATGCAGGTGATTCTGCGACAGCTCCGCCGCGATGTAGCCGGTGCACCAATGTCTTCTGCTCCAGCAATCCTTGTCGTTGAATATCGTCAAGGAATCCTCCAGTATATTCCTTGTTCTTCATTACATCCACCATCCGTCGCCTCTTTTCAACGGTTGGGTCGTCATCATAATAATCATCAGACAAGTCGTCCCAATCACTGTAAACGTCCTCTACGTCGAGGGAGGGATCATCAAAGTACAACACGTCGTGTGTAGCGGTTTCAGCCAAATCATCCTATATCGTTAATCGACTTGTCAGCATAATCGAGGACACGTCCGCCAATTAACAAGAAATTGCAGCGAGCGCAAAGACTAACAGCAATGGTTGGATCTGGTTCCTCAATCCAGAAAACATCTTCATCGTCGTATTCGTCGAGATATTCATCATCTGACATTTCGAAAGGCGAGACAACGTTGGCGAAGTCAGATCACAGAGCGATAAATTGCACAGCTTCGTTGTCGAAAAAGCGTAACTAGGCCGCCTGAAATTGGAAGGACCTAAGGAGCGCAGAAATTTTCCGTGGCGACAAATAGGCCTCGCGAGAGCGAAAGAAAAAGAGTGTCTTTGTAATCAGGAAGCGCAAACAAGCTGTATATCCCAATTGATCTCAAGTACAGCAGAAACGACCGCAAATGATCAAAAAAAAGCGACGGTGACGTCGTGCCTTGGGGCTGATCGCTGTCTCCCTTCGACTTCCGCCGAGCAGAACTCGCCGAGATGGATTTGCAGAGTGGAGTAGGGTCACGTGTATCTGTTTCCCCGCAGTTTCGCTTTGCGTCGGCTCAAGGGGGTGATGTTACTGTCATGCTTCGGTAGAACCTGAGCCAGGGCCGTATTTTTCTTAAGACTCGCGGAGAGCTCCTCAAAGCTACTTTCGCTCGTATCTGAACTATGCTGAGAGTCTTGAAGAACCTGCACAGAAATTCAACATAGGGCTGTTTAGCAGCAGCAATTTGTCGCTATGGCTCTCTCGTCTCTTCTCCGCATTTCTTCCCGCATGGGCCCGACAGCTGCTCGACGGTCACGAAGAGCAGCGTCCACTGCCGCCAGTACTCATGTGCCACAGAGGAAACTGGACTCCGTTCTTATTGCCAACAGAGGAGAGATAGCATTGTATGATTACGAGGATTTAGCGTTTTATTAGCTTCCACTGACCAGATTATAGACGAGTAGGTCGCACGGCTTCTCAACACGGCATCAAAGTGACCACGCTATACACGGATCCCGACAGACATGCTCAGCATGCGTTGAGCTCACCATTTGCATTTAATCTCGGCTCAGTTTCTGCATATCTCGATGGTGACCGCATCATCGAAATTGCTAAGAGAGAAGGCTGCCAAGCGATACATCCCGGTTACGGTTTTGTAAGTGTCTGCCAGCGAATTAACGATCCTGTACACTTATCATTATTGTCTGTAGTTGAGTGAAAACTCAGAGTTTGCGCGAAAATGCACAGAAGCTGGTCTAGTCTTCATCGGTCCCCCATGGAAAGCAATCGAGGATATGGGAGACAAGAGGTACGCCGATCACGAAGATCCATAATCTTTTAACCTCGCTAATACCTTGAAGCCAGTCAAAGAAGATCATGACAGCTGCAGGTGTGCCTTGCGTTCCTGGCTATCACGGCTCAAACCAAGATGTGAACTTCCTCGAAGCCGAAGCCGATAAGATCAAATACCCTGTGCTTATTAAAGCAGTCAAAGGTGGCGGCGGGAAAGGGATGCGTATCGCCAGGTCTAAAGCCGAATTTCAGGCTCAATTGCAGTCTGCGAAATCAGAAGCCATGAACTCGTTCGGAGACGATCACGTCTTGGTTGAGAAGTACATTACAACACCACGTCACATCGAAGTTCAGGTCTTTGCAGACAAGTACGGGAACTGTGTCGCTCTGGGCGAGAGAGATTGCAGCATACAAAGACGGCATCAGAAGATCCTTGAGGAGTCTCCAGCACCCCATCTACCGGACGCAACCAGAAAAGATATCTGGGCGAAGGCGAGAGCTGCAGCGCTGGCCGTAGGCTACGAGGGTGCTGGTACCGTGGAGTTCATTTTCGACAACGACACCGGCGAATTCTTCTTTATGGAGATGAATACTCGGCTGCAAGTTGAGCATCCCGTTACAGAGATGGTCACTGGTCAGGACCTCGTCCACTGGCAGATCAAAATCGCGGAGGGCGCCCCTCTGCCCTTGACTCAGGATCAAGTTGAAGCTGAAATGGCTCACCGCGGACACGCTATCGAGGCTAGAATATATGCAGAAAATCCGGACCAAGGTTTCATCCCTGACTCTGGCACTCTACTGCATGTTCGCACTCCTGCAACGTCAGACGACGTCAGAATTGACGCAGGCTTCGTCGCGGGAGATGAAGTCTCAGCTCACTACGACCCAATGATTGCAAAACTGATTGTTCGCGGTGCCACGCGGCAAGAGGCAATCCGCAAACTAGCAGCCGCCTTGGAAGAATATGAGGTCGCAGGCCCTATCACCAACATCGAGTTCATCAAATCCGTTTGCAGAAGCCCAGATTTCATCAAAGGCGAGGTGGAGACAGGTTACATTGAAAAGCACCGCGATGAATTGTTCACCAAGGACCCGATTGAGGATGAGGTACTTGCACAAGTGGCGCTGGCTTGTCTACACCACAACTCCGAATCAGCGACCGGAAAGCAGGCAAACTTTGAAGGGTCCGCGGTCGGATTCAGCCCCAGCTATCAAGTACGAGAGATGACACTAGCAGAACTGACACCAGGACGGAAAGATAGCACAAAATTCAACATTCGGGTGAAGCAGACTGGCAACAATGTGTTCGATGTCGAGGTTGGCAGTCGTCTTTTCGAGCAAGTGACGAGTCATAGCGATCCCACATCCAAAGTCGTGACATCCTTCTTTCCCCACACTCGACTTGACACAACTGTGATACAAGACGGGGATTCCGTCGTTGCGTTCCAGCGAGGTACCCAATACCGCCTAACGATCCCACGGGCCAAATGGATGGAGAAAGCATTGGGCATGAAGGATGTCACCAACAGTGTCTTGGCCCCGATGCCCTGCAAGGTGCTGCGCGTGGAGGTCAAGGCAGGCGATGTTGTGGAAAAAGACCAGCCGCTGGTTGTAATTGAGAGTATGAAGATGGAAACAGTAATTCGCAGCCCTCAGAAGGGAACTATCTCCAAAGTGGTACATCAAAAAGGGGTAGGTCACACGTCTCTTTTTTTTTGCGCTTTTGTTTTTATTGTCGTTGCCCCCTGCGCATCGTTCCCGTTTTTTGATCGGTCACTTGACCGATGGGGTGACGCTCAATAATTAATGACCTTGATCTCGGCCCGTTGGTTTGGCGCCAAGTCGGACCAGGATAGTTGGAGTTTGGGAGTCTTGGAGTCTGTAACCGAAGCACGGACCCTCACGTCAAGCTTCGAGAACACCTTCCCTTGGGCTTCCGGAACTTCCGCTTTTTGATCTCTCGTTTTCCGGAGTGGTGGACTGACATGTTTCTACAGGATCAATGCAAGAGCGGTACTCCTCTGGTCGAATTCGCAGAGGAAGGTGAAGGAACTTCCAGTTGATGCGCCAACTTTCCATTGGAACTAGGATACGACCGATCGGGGACGGACATTGTATTGTGTACGTCGATATGTTTTGCCAGATTCCTTTTTGGGCGTAGACGTCTGCATTAGATTCAAATACAGGAGCTGTATATGTTGTAACCTTGGTCGTGAGTTGGCAGTCCCCAAATAATCGGATCAGTAAACACACTACATTGATAGGTATATGTTAAATTGGCCGTCCCTGATGACTGTCAATAATGAGGTAGCAAATGGCACAGCTTGAGAAGCATCACAAAATTACTAAAAATATGAACAGTTCACAAAGTCTTGAGACCAACCCGGTCATTCTGGCGGAGCGAAGGTCGTGGAAGCAGACAAACCCATAAAAGGAGAGCATGAGGCTCCTGACCATGGGACGTGCGGGGAAGTTTGGGATGTGGTCGTTATTTACCGAGCTCCAGCTGGAGACGAACCTTAAAGGAGTAGCAGATCCACTGCTGGGCACTACTCCACTTCCCCCAAGTCCTTAGTCCGAACGATGCCACAGATTGGACAGGATTCTCCCAAGTAAACAGTACACTACTCCGGGGTTCTTTGTGCACTCAATCCCTCTTGTGCTACGGAGTACAGTGCTTAGACTTGGTGGCGACAGGATCAGCTAAGATGTGGCAAATAACTTGGTGATCTCCTCACCTTTGATGCCCATTTGAATATAATTCACTGGAGGTAAGTACCTGTAACCGAGTACATGCAGGCCGCAGCGGTTAGCTTGCCATAAAATGGATGCTGGCAGTGGCATGCATGCAGGATATTCAGGATTGAAGCACTCGAAGTATGTTTTTACTTTTTCTTGATAAGAAGAGGTTGTGATAAATATCAAATGAAAAGTTTCTGATGATAAACATCGACATAATGTGCATGACCAATCTTTTTCTACTACTCAGTTGACAGAGTTAACAGTATTGTTGGAATTGAGTTTTTGACAGGATTAGTGCAACTACTACTATGTTGACTATTTTAGATTTGGCGATTATTGGAGGTACTTACGACATCTTTCCTACTTCTGATGGCCAACATTATCTGGGTACGACTTGCTCTCCTTCACAAGCACACGAGGGCAAGGGGTAGATAGATAGAGGACACGTCCAGATACTCCCTAGAAATGCTAATGCCAGTGAGATCACAAAAGAATAAAAATATAATAATAAAAATATAAGCAACAAATAAATACAGGAAGATGGATATTGCACAGAATCTTCTACAGAGTACTAGCCGCTGAAACTTCGCGAGGATCGAGGGCCGTGTTGGAGTCACGCGGAAAGCAGAAAAGGGCAGCACGGCGACGAAGCCGGGATGCCTAATGGGCCAGTGGCTTGGAAATCTGGTAGAAAACCCMACTGCATGGCAGATCTTGGTCCAGATCTCTGCAGGGGGGTTGGGGTCTGGCCCTGTGCTTTTACCATCTCCGCCTGACACCGCCCAGAAATACATATAAACAAAGTACTTTTTTTTAGAAAAAACCGTTTCCCAGAAAAAGGAATCTACGAATGGGAAATTTTGTCCTCAATCATACGCCAGTCATCCAAATCACGCCTGCAATTCCTTCTGTCTGACTTGTTTGTTCCTTCGGATATCCCGTTGCGGCGTTCCATTCAAGGTACTTATTTCACCGCAATTGCTCCAGCTCTGCTCTACCTTAGTATATATACACAGCAACAGTAACTAGATGCCTTTAATTGATAGTTGTACCTAATACAAAGGAGTAACTGCGTACCAACTGTCGCTCCTAGCTACTTATATTCCCGAGCCCCTCCATCTTCTATTTCCTTCTTTGCCAACTTCTGGACC